ATAATGTGCCACTGATTTTTCCAGATGCGATAGGGACGGACGTGACAAGGAAGGGTGGAATGGAGTAGGGGTTGTAAAGAGGGCTCATTGAGGATTGGGGTCGACGATAATTGGCCGTAGTCGACCATGGCAGGGTGGGTTTAGGAAGGTCAGCCAGATAACACCTCTGGCATAGAGGCAGCACTTTGGTGGTGCAGAAACGGACAGACTGGGGCGGGAGGGGTAAGGACAGGGCGGGAGCGTCATATCTCCTGACGGCGAGAGAGGCGGGTACGATTTTTTTGTATGGTGCGGACGGCATGCGTAACGGATCACAAGAACCACCCCATAGTCCGGCGAGCTAGCTCGTGCTTAAATGCGAGCGTACTCGTGTGATTCTGGGCATGCATGATGAGGATGCGATGACAGTCAAGAGAGGCATTCGTTCTGGAAGACACATCTTCCGACGACCCGTGCGTAACAAAGTTCTAATTGAAACCCTTTTCAATAGGGTTTTTTGCACATTAGTTTCACTGTGAGAACTGATCGTGATAGATACGGATCTGAATAAGCGATTGGAACACGGCTGTTTGTTAAAAGCATACGATTTCGCACTCGCTTAAATGTGCATTTGCTTTGAAAGCATGCTGTGAAACATACAAATAGTAGATATCTAAATGTTATGCACAAATTTACTTTAAAAGAACTAGCGTGAAACTGACGTATTATTTGATATATGATTCTAAATTATTCCAATTATACAATTGTGATGTAGCTTTATTCGAATTGTAATACGCATTTACAGCCTAATCATGTATCTCGAAGCGAACGTTCGTTTCGTCTGCCAGACGTTTCGTTCGTGTGTTGGTAGTATGTAAGTCGAAATCGTCTGGCAGCACGAAAACAGCTGATCGTTACGTAGTTTTCGTCTAGGTTGGAATTTTTTAAGGCGAATAGAAACGAAAGTGAGACGACAATCGTTGGAAACATACGAAAGTGATCGTTAAGATGAAGGGTTCTGCCAGGAAAAGTAAGAAAATAAAAAAATATAACTTGGTTTAAGGAAATATATTAATATTTATGCTTGTAGCGGTGAAAAAAACTACAACCACTCAATTTGAAGTACCCGTAAAAGAAATGGAGAGAAATCCTGACCTGGCCAGAGGTGTTGCAGTGTTTGGATCTGATCGAGGAAGGGTAGAGGAGCGGTGGGAGGAAATTATGAGGAAAATTAATTCTCATG